GGTTTCACCATGTTGGCCAGGCTGGTCTTGAACTCCTGACCTCTGGTAATCCCCCACCTCGGCCTCACAAAATGCTGGGATTACAGGCATGAGCCACTGTGCCCAGCCTCTTCCATTTTTTTATATGTTATAAAACAATCTTTTTTTTACTTGACATCAATGACCAAGGTGCAGTATAAACATGAAGCTGCTGATATTGTTGCTTTTAAACACATAAAATACCAACATCTCCCATACACTTTATAGGCTATACAAAAGTCTCAGAAAGAATTAATAGCAGTTATCCAAAAGTACTGTAATATTTAAGGCTGAGTGAAATACAGTAAAGTCTGATATTATATGTTAAGAAACCTAGACCAACATTTTAAATATTGGTTTCTTAACTATGTTAAATTTTCATTAACAGAACATAATCTAAGCAGCTAAGCAAATTAATTTTAAAATAAAACAATTTCTAAATAGATTAATATAATCATGTTTATACAGCTATAAAGCATAATTTGGAAGCTAAGCCTAGTAAAAGAATGACCTGTAACAGAATGACAGAATCATTTATCAACGGTCGAGCTGTGCGATTTAAAGAAACCATTGTCCTCCCCTCCTCCCACCAAAATCTCCATTTGAGATAGTTTCGATCATTATTAAAAACATTTTTTTTTTTTGCTTCTCTGACCTGATTTGTGGTGACTGACACAATACTGATAAAACTGCCTTCTTGATCTTCCCTTTGCTCTCCAAAAGACGTGGTTTAAACAATTACACAAATTCTACAAGAGTTTCTTCCAGGGCTCAGGCACCACAATGCAGCGTCACTACCTTAGGTAACATCTGCTCCCCAGAATCTTTAAGCATTAAGTGGTTCAGTGAGGGCTTCAGCCCTAGTGGTATTTTCAGGTTTTCTCAGCCGGGACTCCCGTAGTTTTTCAATGAACATAGTGAGAAAGTCAAGTAGGAACATAAAACTTGCTATAAATCCAAATACCTGAGCAAGAAAATGAAGAAAGGTTATATGAGGAATTTTGGAATATAATCTCCCATTTCCTACTTGGCTTGGAGAGTGTTTCATGTAAGCAAGATGTTCATAAATTTTATCTTAAACACA